CACACACACACACACACACACACACACACACACACACACACACACACACACACGCAGAACAATTGAAGAAACTCGAGGCAATTAGACCTATTTTTATCTGCTGGACTCATCTCCACAGAACTATAATGTAATTTGATTCTTTTAATTTCCAAAACCATAAGAGGGACAATGGCTTCATGCTTGGATGCACATTTTTCCCTTTTCTTTTAAAAAAAAGAAATTCTCATCTACTTTCCCCTCGCCCACAAAAAAAGGAAGTTATTTTATGGCTCTGAAGAAGAAATTATCATTATGTAAAAAAAAAATCTTTTCCCTAAAGCTTTATGATAGTGTGGCTGGGTTTGATGAGCTTTTGATTCTTCTCTTTTCATTTAGTTTTCACTCTAACTGCAGACTTGCTCCAGGACTTCTTCCCTCCCAATTCTCTTATCATAAAACTTCAACAAATGGAATAAAACGGCCTCACTTTGACTCCTTTTAGACACTTTTACAAGCTCAGCAGTCACATTGTTTCAAATAAACAAAACAAAAACAGTAACTAAATAAAATAAATAGCCTACATGAAAAAGAAAAAAGAAAAAGAAAAAACGCATCTCCTGCCTCTTCCAGAGACTTCAGGAAGTGTTTAAAGGTGTTCTCCTACCGGGGAATCGCTGCTCGCACTCGGACACAGAGGTCCCCTGAAGACCCCCTTGACGCGCCGAAAGTGCCCGTTGCTCAGGTGAGTGGAGCTGATAACCAGGTAGTAGCACGCGCTGCACGCCATCCCGGGAGGCTCGCGAGCTTTGGAGCCCATTAAAGCGGGTCGCTTCTGTGGGAGAGACGCTGCGCAGGTAGGAGCGGCGGCCGAGAGGTTTGCGTCAGTCAGTCCGGTCCTCTGTGGGGAAGTCTCTGCCTGACAGGGAGAGGGAGGAGAGGGGGGAGGGAGATAACATAAAACGCTGATTCTATGAGTGTGTGAAGGACAAACCCACCAGAAGACACGTCTGAGACTGAAGGGATGTGAGACTGACCCGAGTCCTCCGCGCAGCTCCTCCTTTGGCATGCTGCTGTCGTCCGGAACGGATGCGCGCCTGTGGAGTGCCAGAGGAGGAGGAGATGGATGCATCCAGATTTCTCCTTTCACACATTTACATAGAACCACACACTCCTGGTCTGAGCTCTGTCCAGTGTGTTAAAAAAAGAGAAAAAGTCCCAGCTCAAACAGCTCAAACAGCTCAAACAGCAGCAGAGTTAAAACGCGGAGCGGCGAAGACAGGTGCGCACAGAGAAGGGAGAATATCTGACCCTTCTTTTCTCTCTCTCTCTCTCCCCCTCTTTTTTCTGTTCCTCCCTCGCTCTCTATCGATCCGTTTTCCCTCCTCTTTCTTTTACAATCACCTGTCTTGTGAATGAAATTCTGTTGTAGGAGGAGAGAAGAGGAGAGAGAAGGAGGAKAGAGGAGGTGGGAGGGTCGGTAAATCCATCCAGAGCAGCTCTGCTGTAGTTATTATCCGGGCACAGGCAGGCTGAAGTGGCTCATTCTTTCTCCAAAACACCCCCCTCCTCCCCCTCCCTTCCTCACACACTCACACTCTCCTCCTCATCACACACACACACACACTCTCTCCATCTCTCTCTCTTACGCACGCACGTCTTATGCGTGTGTGCGCGCTTCTCGCTTTTATTCCCAAGCAGAGCGGATTTGTGTCTGCTGTTAAAATATGCAGCCCCACTCCGTGCGTGGGTCTGGGGCGGGGGGAGGGGGGGGGATCACTCCAGTCCACACAGCTACAGGGGTATCTCCAAACTCCATCCTCTCACACACAACTTCAACATTTCTGCAAACAAACACAACTTTTTTTGCAAACTGTGCGCCAATTCGTTCCATCTCTCCATCCTTCATCTCTCTCTTTCTCCCTCCTTTAGGCATAAAAGTATCAAATTATGCCTGCATCCTCAGACATTAAAAAAACTGGGGGGTGGGAGCTTCAGTTTAATGCAACCTCAGAGGAAAAATGGTCCTTCTTGGGTCAAACAGGTTTTCCGTCACAGCTGCAGCTGAGCCTCCGTCTGTCTCCGCGGCGCTGTTCCCCTCCGCGGTGCTGAAACTATTCAGCCCTGCACGGAGCATCATGCATATTCAGCCCCGGGATTAGGGTGTCTTTCTGAGCTGTGGCGTCAAAGACAGCTCCGGATAAACACACAGGGAAGAAGGACACCGAGGGATAAGCGTGTGACTAATTGRGGGTGGGGGGTGGGGGGKTGTCCACTTTTTTCTCCTTTTTCTTTTCATTTTTTAAAGGGGTTGAAAGGAAGCAAAGAKGTTTCCACAGCTTTTTGTTTCTTTGTTTTCCCATTTGTTATCTGATTCCAAAAGTTATTTAAGGTGAAGGCAATTGTCACTTGCTGGGAGGATGTAATACATCTCAACAAAAATGTCAGCCTCTCACAGGATACTCATCCTTTAACTTTCTACAGTCAGGGGGGGCTTAATGCTGCCATAAATCCAGCCTTAAATATCTGCCTCCAGAGACAGAACCCAAACAAGAAAGCAAGAGTTCGAGAACGAAATCTCACTTCTTTTATAACTTCTCAAGGATGTCTGGCAAACAAAATACAGGCTGTTTTTTTTGCCAACTGGACACATAAAACACACACTCATCACCCCCTCATCTTGGATGCTTGGTTGGGCTCCCTCTGCATCACTTATTGTATGGGGGGGTACCCCCCTGATGGATGAGATTTAGTGTCAGTGGTTAAGTTTAAGTTTAGGTAATAAGGTCAGCAATTAGATGTTTGGGGTTAATAAAGGTTAAGTTGGGTTTTAGTTGTGCTGTAAAARATTTCACTATAAAACTAGAGATGCCAGTAAGTTACTGTTTTTACAGTGCATGTACTGTGATTCGTTTTAACACTATATTGCTGTAAATTTAAATACAGTAACAGTAAAATAATAGTAAATTACTGTTAGGACAGAAGACAGTAWTGTTCTGCAATAGCTTTACAGCTTATCGCTGTATAATGGATTACAGTAAACTGCTGGTTTCATCATAATTTTATAGAATCAGTTTACAAACATAATAAAATCAGCAAATTCCCATAAATCCATACACATTTACAAAATAATAAAATAAATTCAATAAAATGTTCTTTATGCAGAGCACAAGGACATATTTCATTAATGTCAGGTTTTAGTGAAATTATGACCCTAAACTTGCTGCTGAATAAAAACGGYCATCAACAGTGAGGTCAAACAGCAGTAACATAACAGCTGCAATAATACATGATCAACAGCAGAATGAAAGAAACACATCACAGATTTGACACAAGCCTTTTGCACATGCAAGGAACTGCATGACAGTAAAATACAGAGAGGTAACTTGTATTTAGAAAAAATTGAGAAAGGGCACCTCCTCCTCGTTCTCATKTTGTTAATTAATGACGAGAGGTGGGGGTTCTCCATGTGTCAATAAGTGGTGCAACCAAGTGTTCATATAGTTCACTGTAAAAAATAACTTGTAAGATTTACTAGATAAAATCCTGTAAACAATTTGCACTGACGTTTGGTAAGTAAATTTAAATGCTACAAATTCATGTAATATTTACTCATCATTATCTAGTAAAAGTTATTAAGAATATAGTTAAAGATTAGTGAATAAATCAGGTAAATTTGACTTAATTTGCTCAACTAAATCTTGTAAAATATACTTGATTAAATTAAGTAAAATTTACCTGAGTCGTTAGTTCTCATCTGTCGTAATTGTCAAAAGGGAAGTGAGCAAATTCAGTTACATTTCCCTGAGTGGAAGAGAGGTATCACACAGGCAAAGATTTGTTTCTGTCAAAGTATTAAGAACCTGCTGTAAAACAGCAATTATGCTGAGTCAGGCTTGATTTTTAATAATCTTTTCCTGTTAAATAAATCAAATCAAATCAAATCAATTACTGCTTTAAGCTCGTATTAATCTACACTTGCTTATAGGTTTTAGAGTTTGTTTTTCCATTGCTGATTTTTGCAGAATACAAAATTTTGGGAATGTAGTTTTTTTTACAATTTAAGCTTTGCACTGCTTGTAAATAAACATATATTTCTCAAAATCCTATATGTTTTATAAAATCCACCTTTTTGTCTTTTGGTAAAGGCGTATAAGGTGTGTGCACCTGGTAAGGATGCCTCTTGAGGGTTTACTGAACTCCGGAGGTCCTGCATCAACCTGAGACTCTCTGGAGGGCTGGTCCAGCTGAAGACAGCTGAGGAAGACCTGGAGAAAAATGCCAGATAGGAATCCTTGAGTTTATCTGCTCCTGCAGTTGATCTAACACTAAAATGGTCTGCATTCTTTGGAGAGTAGAAAAATGTATTTTTTTTCTTATTTTGGCCACCTTTCATTTTATTTGTGATTTGATTTTTTTCTTCTGTTGTATATAGAATTTATTTAGTTTTTAATGAAATGAGTAAATATTAAATTAAAAAATAATAAAAAATGTATACTTTGAATCTATTCAATGGTGTCTTAATGTTGTACAAAAGCACAATAGGGAGATTCTAGGGCTGCTTTCTTTAGGAAATGCTTGTAAATTTCAGTAAATTGAGATCAAAAACAAGAGAAAAAACAAAATATTTCATTATCTGGTTCCAAACTTTATATACAATTTTGTGCCAATTCTAACATAACTGTGTTGAAACCTGCAGTGCATCACAACTGGTTGATTTTAGAATAATTGATATAAAAAAACGTCTTTTAAACAATATTTTCTCATGGAAATGGCTTTTTTAGGAGATTAATGTGCCCTGCCATATTTCAAGAATATCAGGTTTAAAATTGAAAAAAAAAAAGATTTTTATTTTTAGACTTGAAACAAATGCCCTTTTTTTCTTCCTTTCAGATTTGAAGATTTTTGGTCTTTTACTGTACTTCATGCTTACTTATTCAAGCTTGATCATCATTTATGAGAATCATGAAGTAAAAAAATCGAAAAGTTACAATAATAAAAAATCATTCAAACTCAAGTTTCTGCTATTTGTGCTCAAGCTTGTGTTTTATTTCATAAACTCCCTTATTAAAAACAAAAGGATAAATGAACGGAAAACATTAAACAGGTATGAGTCCATCCATCCATCCATCCATCCATCCATCCATCCATCCATCCATCCATCCATCCATCCATCCATCCATCCATCCATCCATCCATCCATCCATCCATGGT